TCCTACCAAAGCCGGCATCGGACAGATTTCTCCCAAGAGTGAGAATTCCATAACAACAACTTTGGTGGGGGTCACTCTCAGGGATGACCAAGTTAATCTGCATGTCACCAGTGATAGTGCTTTGATGGATGCGAACAAGCGGCATAGGCACCATCGGAAGGAATTTGATCGGCTGCCATCAGGATGGATGCCCTGAGACAGCAATGCAGGTTTCTCTGCACAATTAACCCTCATCCTGATGATATCTACCTTTTACCTACAACCTACAACTGTTCTTGTCCACATTGTTGACTCCGGACATCGTGTGGACCCCAACGAAGACTTCAAGATATGTTATAAAGTCTCGCTAAACTATCCAAAGTCCTTGGGTCAGCGTTTCCTAACGACAGTAGAAGCAACTGCTATTCGGTTGAGGAAGCCGGTTTTGTGCACGCAAAGGACCTCCTGCAAGCTCCGAGTTTGGCATAACCAACGGTCACATAACTGTCTGCCACTTTCCGCGCTTCCATCCAACCTCCGGTCCAGCTTCAACAAACCCTAATGGCCGCTTAACCAGTCGAATATTATGAAACCCCTCCTTATGCCAGTGCATCAAATTATACAACTCGTGATTTGCGAGTAGTCATATTTTTTCTGTCATATTTGTTACGATTTGACTCTACTGTCTACCCGGAACATGTAATTGATGTACCTTTTTCAATTCTTCTTTGTATCCATTTATACCCTATCATCTTGTTACCAACAGGGAGTTCAAAGGCGTTCGCCTATCTTTCTCTCAATAAACTGATGCTAATGCTTATGCCCACGACTAGTTGGCCTATAATAATGAACGTAATGGTCTGCGTATCAAACTGTAACCTTTACCCCCTCCTATATGAATATAATAATTTTATCTCCCGTTCCGTTCTTGATATATTTCGTTTACTTGCTTTTCTGCGCCCCCTCCTCCCCCCCTATTACCACCGGCCACATATTAAACATAATGAACTGTTACCAAGGTAGGGACGAACAAGCGATAGACCAAAAACCAAAAGGCACTGACATGAAGAAATGGCATTTTAAAAGAATAGAGTATTCACCTGGGTCTCCGATTGGTAGATTGGCCAACTCAGCAATAAATTGCGTGAGGACGCGCGCAAACTGTTCGTCGGCGCCAAGACACTTGTTGTTCAGCCAGTGGACAATGTAGTTTACGCATCTAGAAAAATTAGATCAGAGCGGAAACTTCGTCAAGCGGCAGTACGATGAGACAGAGAAAGAAAATAAACGAATATTGTGCAGTTCAGAAAACCTACCGCGAGCCACCTTGAGGACAGAAGCCGGGAGGTAAAGCCGGCACGGGGATGTTTGAGTCAGCTGCGTTCACTGAGGCCACAAGAGTGAATTTTGCGGAGGTAAAGGCAGGAGCTGGCGTGAAAAGTTGTTGCCAGAGCGTGCTGTCCTGTCTTAGCTCTGAGTCGTTGAAGGGGTGGCAGAGCCTCGAAGATAAATACACAAAATAGTAGCTACTCATTTATTGTAAGTAGTACAACAAATACTAAGCTGGTTTCCGCAGGCAATACAAACTTAACAAATAGGAGAAGATGGCGTACCAGACTTTAAGATAGTGCTTCAGCACGGGGTGTCGCAGGAGGATGGCCGGGAGAGCACAGCTGACGCCCTGTTGGAGTGCGAGAAAAAGGCAATTTTGTTAACAAGTGAGATACCGAGATTTAAAACGTACAATTGTAACGTAAGAACAGTCAGACCGCAAACGCTCCTGGGCGGGCGGGACTAGCGTAATTGATGAAACTGATACATTTTAGCAAGTGCCTGTTATTGCGACTTTCAAAGTTTTCATCGGTGAAATAAACCCCGTGGGATATTACGAACTGTCTCGAAAATGGTACTAAGGAACGCGTTGTCACAGGGAGGGATAAGGACTCACGGTGTGGCTAACATTACAACGAACATCGAACCCGCGTTTACTTCAACGAATCATCAAACGTCATACATAAAGACTACAGTCATGGTGAAAACTAAATGCGTAAATGTCCACTGTACTGGAATTGCTATTGCCGTGTCAGGAATCCTGCTTAAAAATAATGTAAGAAAAGTAAATATCCTAGAGGCACGTACATTTGAAAAGGAAGACAATAACTTGTTATTAAAAATTCGCCAAGTATGGGACAGAGGACTCTACGCGACACAAGATGTGGTGGTGGTGGGTGAGTAACACAGCCGACGCCAAGGTAGTAAAACAAAACATGCATACTACTACGAAATAAGTAGATAGTTATGCAGAGTAAGCAAGAACGTGGTGGTTACGACGTAAACATACAAAAATGGATGTGAA